GTGCCCAATAATGCGTAATTTCATTTGATAAACACGTTTAGATTGAATGGTAATTTATAATCAGTCACAAGAACGTCGAATCTGAATCACTTGAAAAAAACACGGGGGTGCTTAACTTTTTTCCAGGTGTATATTTGAATCACAACTAATGTTGACTTCCAATTTCATTGTAGCAAAGTTAATGAAACAACCATCAACAATAAAACCTTCATTATAGCAGGAAAGCAGAACTTATATAGATTCTCCTCACATAAGTACGATAAATTACATTTAAAGTGGAAATTATGGGTAAGTTGATGCATGTTCTGCATTTTGTAAAGAACATTCAGAAGTTTAGTCACATGTTTGTTTAAATCATGATAGTAACCCAACAAGGAAAATATTTTTATATTTAAGAGGTAAGTCTACCTGAACTGAAAACTATATTAATTTGCATACTAATGTCTGAACTACCACAAGATTCAAGAATTTTAAACCATACCTTATCTGGAACATTGTAATTCAGGAAAATTAGAAACTTAGTGATAAGTAACTAAAACTTAAACAAAGAATGTACTTCTATAAAACTTTTTATTAAGAGTCCCATTTAATTTAACTAAACTAATTTAGTAGTAAGAAAATATTATGATAAAAAGTTTGAACAGAGTGAACCAGTAGTGCCTGTTCATAATAAATTATCTTACAACCAAAATTAACTTCAAATAATAGGCTGGTAGTCACTTCAATTGCATCTGATGAATGGAAAGGTTTAATAACCTTTGGTTGAATACTTTAAGCTTTTCATAGCTTTTCCTTCTCTAAAAATTAGCGAATAAAACACGAATAATACTCCCAATGGTAGTATTAAGAGTATTAGGTAGATAGTAGTAGTAAAAATGTCCTTAACAGTTAAGTAAAGTTATCTAACAGTTACAAAAGAAAGGCAAAATTCTGATTGTGTAAAATGTATTTTATTCTGAGACAATTTTAATTATTTCCAATCAGCTATACACAAAAAATACTCACATTATGCTCACTTAACTTCATAATTTCTTGAATTGTAGCCTCTTTAATGCCTCCACCATTTTCAATTCCAAATTCAGCTAACTGAGCTTTTAAGGATACAACCTCTTTTTGTAACCTCGCAACTTCTTCCTCAGCTTCACAAATACCATCTGTAAAATTTAAATTATCAAACATTACAACATTGAACATATGATATCTCTTACATTTATTATTCTGGGCGGTACACTAAAGCCTAAACAAAATGGAATGAATACACACAAACTATTTTAATGTTTAATACTAATTCATTTTGATTAAATAACTATTGGATATCTTATTTGTTCACCTTAGCTTGCTACAAAGATAGAAAAACATTGTTTAGGACATTCCCTTTGTGTATCAGTATATCTTGAATTTTGGAAGGTTCTTAGTATCGGACATTTTGCCTTGAATATTAAGTTACGATAATATATTGGGCACTTGTATGTCCTTTCTTCAAAAACATATAGGGGTCCCAAAATATTATCATAACATAATATTCACAACAAAATGTTCAAGAGTAAAAACCTTTCTGTTGCGTATCTGCTTGTTTGATAACTTCCTGTAAAAATTCTTTTCGAGAAACTTCAGCGATACAAGTCCTTTCTTAATTAAAACTAGTTTATTCTTTCTCGTTACAAACTTTGTAGTACACAGAATTTTCACTTTCACATTAAACTTAACTACTTTTATAAACACATGCTATAATTCACAGCGATTCACACACTTTACTTACAGTGCCTACAGCTCGCTTGACTCGATTATCTATCTCTATATCTATCTCCGACTTATATACTAAAAAAGAGGGCACCTAGAACAGACTAGACTTGCCAGGAAAAGTCATGATTCTTCTAGAATCTCATCACGTGTTACCAGCGTCACGTGACTTCCGCTGTCTTAACACTTCTCCTTCCTTAGTATTGTTCGTCCCGAACAATAGCCACTTACATTAAACCAATAAATAATTAATAATAACTTAATTAAATGTACAGAATTTACAAACACAAAATTAAAATTCAACAAAGTCTCTTAATTTTACAGGACGTACCTTCTTCTGTACTGGTTTCTGTCTCATTGGCTTCTGCTTCACGTGGGGTTCATCTGCTCCATCAGGAAATTTTCCATTATCTGTAACGTTCACATCAGTGGTAGTAACTTCATTAACGGCTTCACTGTTTCCCTTCTCTAAACCGGGTAGAGTTTCTTCTTCGACAGTGGCTTTTTCAGGTGACACATCTTCAGCAGCATCATTTGTTCCATTGTTCCCTTCATTCAAACTGAAATGTCCTGGACCATGATAACACCAAAGCCTGTTGGCATGCGCCACCTTTGTTTACCTCACCGACCACATTTTATTCAGAAAGTCACGTCTGAGAGATGATCCACAATGACATATGGGCCTTCCCATGGAGAGGACAACTTAGGAGACTTCCATTCTATCTTCTTGAGATTATACAACCACATCTTGTCTCCTGGTACAAAGCTGACTTCAGTAGATCTCTTATCATAAAATAGCTTCATAGAATCAGCAGACACATCTTCAGCAGCATCATTTGTTCCATTGTTCCCTTCATTCAAACTGAAATGTCCTGGACCATGATAACACCAAAGCCTGTTGGCATGCGCCACCTTTGTTTACCTCACCGACCACATTTTATTCAGAAAGTCACGTCTGAGAGATGATCCACAATGACATATGGGCCTTCCCATGGAGAGGACAACTTAGGAGACTTCCATTCTATCTTCTTGAGATTATACAACCACATCTTGTCTCCTGGTACAAAGCTGACTTCAGTAGATCTCTTATCATAAAATAGCTTCATAGAATCAGCAGACGTTTTCAAGTTTGAACGCACTTGATGGTAAATATCATCCATTTTTTCAGATAACACTCTCACAAACTCTGACACATTTTCAGGCAATTCTTCGTAAGGTGGGTGTCCTGTTATCAGGTTCACTGGCAACCGAAGTTCCCGACCAAACATCTGCTTTGTTGGAGTGCATCCAGTAGCTTCATGCTCTGCTGTCCTATAGACCATCAACAGTGGAGGGTGTAAGACATCCCAGTCATCTTGGTGGATATTACAAAACTTTGCCAATTCCTGTCCAAGTGTCCAATTGTACTTTTCTACCATCCCATTAGACTGTGGGTGAAGTGGCATTGTCTTGGTCTTTAATATGCCAAACAACTTGCAGCATTCATAGAACTCAGCTGATTCAAAGTTATGGCCTTGATCCGAATGCAATTCGTATGGCATACCAAACCTGAGGAAAAAATCACTAGTAGCTTCCTGACTTGATATTGCATATGCCTCAGGCCACTTGGCGAAATAATCCATCACCACACAAATGTACTTGTTTCCAGCACGAGTTTGGGGCAAAGGACCAGCAATGTCAACAGCTACTCTTTCCATTGGTGTGATAACTTGATATAACTTCATTGGAGCACGTCCCTTATGCTTGGGTCCACTTTTAGCACAACATGTACTGCAGGTCCTGCACCATTCTTCCACATCTTGCCTCATACCTATCCAGTAAAATCTCTGCCGTAGGTGACTCAATGTCTTTTTAACTCTGAGATGTCCTCCTGCTAAACTATCATGGGATTGACACAGCACAACTTCCCATAACTTTCTCGGTATAACTGTTTGCCAGGTCGTCACTTTCCCATCTCTGGAGAAGAATACCATCTTCAAGCTTCAACTGGTCCCATTGTGTCCAATAGTTCTTTGTCACAGGGCTTAAGCTAGACAGGGTGCAAAATCTTGCTTTTAGAAAATCAATTATTGGCTTCAAATCTTGGTCTTTCTCCTGCTCT